ACCTACTTACTAACCTACGGGTTTAGGGATAGGTTAGGGGTTCGAATCTCAGTGTCTGCACTTGTCGGGTCAAACTGGGTGAAACCGTTTCACTCTCGTCCTAAATTTGAGGTCCTCCGAGAACTCCTTAATCCAAGGCTGGAACTTTATCCTTTCTTGCCCTCTCATAGGCGTGTATTATGCCGGGAGCGGTTTCTAATAGCTATGTCCTAGTAAATCACCTGTCGTCCTCTGGTTCCTGGTATGCAAACCTGACTTTGTATTGCTTATAGGGACGACCTCGTCCTCCAGTTCTGAATATGTCCTCTTCCACTATGTGATGTATGTCATAGGCAACATCTATGTCTGGTGGGATCATCGACCTTCGTGAAGGAAACTGCTCACCGGTGGTGCAAGGCAACAACTTTGACGCATGGAAGACTGGGTACGTATGGAGGCACGATGGTATTTCCATCGTGTATGATGGTCCGTCCTCTCCTCCTTTGACCTCTAGGAAGGCCACGGTCCTCTACGTGCAGGTGAGAGCTTCTGCGAGATGGAGGTACGGTGGTATTTCCATCGTGTATGATGGTCCGTCCTCTCCTCCTTTGACCTCTAGGAAGGCCACGGTCCTCTACGCGCAGGTGAGAGCTTCTGCGAGATGTTCTCCTCGGGCGCGAACTCTTTAGATTTGACCTGAAACTGCGATGGTCGGCGATGCTTGTTAGCTTGCTCAATCATACAATGTTGGACCTTTTTCAGATTGTCAATCACCCTAGCGACATCCTTTCCGTGCTGCAATGCAAACTCTCTAGTGTCAGGCGGTAATCTCTGAATCTGATCCCGGTTCAGTCTTTCAAACGGTCTCCTTGGCCTAAAGGGCTTAGAGTTTTCTGCCAGCCAAAGTGCCCTTCTGTATCGCGGCATTCCCCTAGGATCAGACTATGGATCTCTTCACTATTGGGGATGCATAGTCTGTCAACGACGTTGGCGTTCTCAAAGAGCAGCCCGTTCGTGGTTCGATAGTGTGGCTCGCTATCAGGAGTTTCTTTCACTCGTTTAAACAGTTCGTTGTAAATCAGATCCTGAGCATATGCATCTTCCACCTTCTGCTGCAGATTCGCTCCTATATCTAGATAGTGTACTATCGTGCCGAAATAATCAACCCTTGTACTCAGAGCGTCGGCTACCACGTTATACTTTCCTTTAACGGGCTTTAACTCGAAGTCAAACTGGTCTATCTCAGCGGCCCACCTACACCTAGTAAGCTTAGGCGTCATCTTGGCCCGAGTCTTCAACCACCTATCCAATGATCTAAAACCTGCCTGAGAGCGTAGAGTTCTCTCTCGTATGTTGATGCTGCTACTTTTTCCAAATGCAGCCTAGCGAACACAAACTCTACGGGTCTGTATCCATTGTTGTCGTCTTGTTGTAGAACAACACCTATGTCGTACTGATTGGCATCTATAGTGACGACAAATGGCAGTGACGGGTCGACTACTTTGAGGACGGGGTATTATATCAAGGTCTTCTTCAATTTCTTGAAAGTCGAAGTGCAATCGTGGCCCCACTTCCAAATTGCGAAGGGAAGCAGCGATTGTGGAAAAATTCCTTACGAACTTCCTGTAGTAGTTAGCCAACCCTAAGAACGATCGCAACTTAGTCAGAGTGCGAGGAGTTGGCCAATCTCTTATTGATGCTATCTTACTGTCCTCAGGTCTAAGGCCGTCTTCGTCCAGTACGTGGCCCAAGTAAAGAACTTCGGTCTTGGCCCACTCGCACTTCTTTGCGTTATTATTGAAGTTGAATTCTTTAAGTTTCTCCAGGATTTGCCTCAGATGGCCCTCATGCTCTTGGAAGGTCTTGCTGAAAATTAAAATGTCAATCTAAGTAAACTACTACAAACCTGTCTAACCACGGCCTCAACAAGTCATTCATATAGTGCTGAAAGGTGCCCGGTGCATTAGCAAGTCCAAAGGGCATCACTATGAACTCGTAATGCTCGTATCTCATCCTGAATGCCGTTTTCTGCTGGTCATCAAGGTGCACTTCTATCTGATGATAACTAACTGCAAATTTGTCTTTGAGAAGTACTTACAACCCTACACTCGATTTAAGAGATTATCTATTGTGGGAAGCGATTCTGCATTTTTTATGGTTATGACGTTCAGACCCCTGTATTCTATACACATTCTTAATTCTCCCTCTTCCTTTGGGACGAATAGAACGGGTGCGCCGAAAGGAGACGAACTAGGCCTTATCCATCCTTTCTCCAAGAGTCCATCCAGTTGGTTGTGAAGCTCTTCTAACTCCTTGGGAGACATCTTGTAGATTGCCCCTTTCGGTGTTCTACTGCTAGGTTCTATCTCTATACGATTGCCCCTTTCGGTGTTCTACTGCTAGGTTCTATCTCTATACGATGCTGGATAGGCCTCGGTGCAACTCCTAAAGGTGCCTTGACAAATCTTTACTCTTTCAGGAGATTGGCAATAGTAGGATGAACTTTCTCTTCCTCCCTTGGCGAATTTGTGAACGGCCTAACATAGGCGACAAACACGTGCTCTTCAAGCTGCTCCTTTCGCACAAGTCTAGCGAATGCAGGAGTGTTGAGGCAGCAATGTGCGAGGGGATTTTCTACCCTAAACTCATGGTACAGGCGGACTTGCTCAACTTCGCCTGGCGAACTAGGGAGCCTGCACTCGTGCTCTCTAAGGTGCAAAGTGGCTCCTGCTGCCTCTTCCCAATTTGTACCTAAGACTATGTCAAACCGGAGATTCTCTTCGACGAGGAGAGTTAAGGAATGGAAAACCTTCTCTACTTTCCCTTCCTTCTCTAGGTGAAAGTACGCCTGGACTCCCTCAACATATTCCTCGACACGCATTCTACTATTGTCTGCGAGGATGCTGGCTACGGGCTCTCTCAAACGTTGGACTTTAAGACTTAGCTTCAATTTCTTCAGCGCTTTACGACCAATATAGCTCATGGTGGCCCCACTATCTATAAGGGCCCCGACTCTAGCTCTAAAAATCTCTACGTCTGCAAGGACTAGTTGTTTTTCCCCATATTTCTTCATCCCTGCCCAAGCTTGCCTTCTCTCCTTCAACTCTTCAGCTAAGCCTGTGAGGGAAGCGTCTAGAGAGACTCTAACACAAGCAGTCTCTGGACAGCTTACTAGACGCTGGCCAACAACCTCTGCCATGGAGACATGTGGAGTGGGAGACTCTATCTTGCGCGCACGCTCAGATCCACATACTCCTGGGGTAGGGGCAGTTACGACCTCTACCTGCGGTTGTCCTTTGCTGCCCCAACAGCAGCACGATCCCTATACTTTCAACAAAACTTGATGATGTGACGAGGGTCCCTGCAAAACACGCGATGGAACCTATCCATGTGACCCCGCCACACATTCTGCCCAATCCCCAATCATTGACTTTGATGGAAATTGAAGGACAGATACATCCGACCCATGCATCTCACTCGACATGAGGAATCACCAATGCTCCGTAGCTGGCTGAGGGAGAAGACGACGACCATAACTGGGAGAGGAAGATGACAGCGGCCATAGCCGCCAAGGTGTTGTTGTCAACATAGTGTACAATGTATATATGTGTCTGAACAGTGGACATTCAGGGTGGATCCTCGTACATGCGTGCATAAGAGAGAGCGAGGCTGGTGGTGGAGACAGTGTTCGGCGGCCATAGCCGCAAGTTGTAGAGTTGACTTGAGTTGATTTTTTGGCCAAAGGCCATTTCTTTGAGTTTTCTGAGTTGAAGAAGTTGGTTTGCCATCAGTCCATACTTGTATGTATGTTGCAAGCAAGCTTGGAGTGCAGTCTGATTTCACTGGTATCGGGGCTGGTTCTCATTGTCCACTCCAAAGCTGCAGCAAGCTAAAGAAGGTAGAAGGCCACCATAACTAGAGAGCAGCAGAGAGAGAGAGAGAGGACGAGGCCATAGCCGATGGCAGCCATAGCTGCCGAGCTCGGAGGAGAAGACGACCAGCGGGGAAGAGGAAGGAAGTTGACAAAGAAGGAGGTGAAGTCGGCCATAGCCAAGGTGAAAGAGGAAGAAGGGGGCAACAAAGGAGAAGGTGGACCACCATAGCCAAGAGGTTGGAAGTTGGACCGGAGAGGTTGACCAATGTTGATCGGCGTTGACTGGAGGTTGACCAGGGAGTTGACCAAGACCGTTGACCAGCACATTGACCAAGACTGCTGATCGGAGCATTGACCAAGCTGGAGCGAGAAGACGAGCAGTATCATCTCTCTAAGTCCTGGCCTAGCCCTTGCCTTGTGGATGTGAACCCCCACCTTGGTACTTGCTGACGTCAAGTCTGTCAGAGTCGGTCATATCTCGCTGTCACTTCTTTTCAGGTCGATAGGACTCTGTGGATGTGGTTGTAGAGCTGCGAGCCCAAACCCACACAGGATTTAGTAAGGCTAAAGGCCGCATCGAACGACTGACACGTCCCGGGGACAAGACCCCCAAGGACCGGTACTGATCGGCGGGCTGCTCAGTGTGGCGTGGTAGGCCCGAACTCCGAGTTGTGGGTTGTGCGTCCAATTGTCTAAGTCTTGAGAAAACTTTGCTGATCGCGTTGTCCTGTCTGCGACGTTAAAGAATTCCTGAAGAGTTACAGGGGATCTCCTTAAATGCCTCCTGATCAGAGAGTGAGTCCTATAGTGACAGCCTTAGTGTAGGTCAGGCTAGAGACCCTAGTTGATAGAGTTTAAATCTGATGTGGAAGCCAGGTGGGTTTCGGTGACAGTGGTGGTTAAAGCTTTCGTTGGCTGTGGAAAGTTTCGGTGACAGTGGTTGCGAAAGTATCCGTTGGCTGTGGTAACCTGGCTGAAACTGAGGAAAGAACTTTGTGGTCCTTTAGAGAGCAAGACTGGTAGGTCTACGTGCTGAGGAGCGAAATCGTCCGTGATTGTGCCCTATCACCATGGTGACCACCAGGGGTGGAACTAGCACCACCCTGTATAGCACGGACCAAGAACAAAAAGCTGCCACCATTCTCAGAAAGAAAAAGGAGAGGATGGAAAAGAGAGAGTTGATTAAGCAGGCGAAGATGCTAGCCTTGCTAGAAGAACAGGAGGCGAAGCAGAAACATATGGAGGAAGAACTAGCAAGATGGAAGGAGCAGGAGGAGAAGCTGGCAGCAGTTGAGGCAGAAGCAGAAGAAGAAGTAGAAGAAGAGGGAGAGGTTGAAGAAGAAGAGCCGCTAGAGAGGAGGGTTGAGGTGAGTTCCAGTAGAGCTGCCCCAAAGGCAGTGGAGAAAGCAATCAAAGAATGGGCAACTCACATATGACTGGGGGAAGAGAGAGAAGCGGAGCTAATGATTCCCCAGGCAAGAGGGAGGCGGTAGAACAAGAGTTGGAAGGAGAGGCTAACCCCTTGCGAAGAGAAGCAAAAGAGCAAGAGAAGCAATTGGAGTGGAAGTTGCGCCTGGCATAAGAGACAACAAGGCGCCCGGAAGTAGCAGAGAGGACGGAGAGGGAGTTAAAAGCGGCAAAAACAAGGAGGGGAAAGATCAGGGAAGAGACTGAGATAGGAACGAAAATTGACACCCTGACCCACAACGTAGAATCCCTACAGACCGTGCAGAGAGAGCAACTGAAACACCTTCGCAGCCATTATTTTAGAGTTTACGCATGCCGGATTCAAAGACTTTGCGCAAGATATGATGAAATACCTCATGGAACAAATCCAAATCGCTATCAGTAGGACAAAGAAGTTTTGCACGGGCGCCATTGAGGGCGCCAAGATAGGGGCTTCCAAGGAAGAGGAGCCCAGTCTACGCCGCTAGAAAGTCAAAGTCAGCCTCCTCGAGCCCTAGTGGAAACAAGGAGGAACAATTGGTAAGCCAACGTAAATTCCTATTTATATCTACTACAAGGCATAGCACCAGAAGATCATGTCCTCGTGGCCTTTCGGGCAGTGAGGGAGGAAGCGACCAGCTTTGCGAGGTCGCTCGCACGCATTGCGAACTGCGAAAATGACATGGTTCAGTATTCTATGGTAACTCCCCTCTCTAAATTCCTTAAGGCTCTCAGGGAACGATTCTCAGATGTCACTAAGGGGATTAAGGCATCTGAAAAATTGCAGATGATCCATACACACCAGTGGAAGAGTGTACAAGTCTGCCATGGACAAGCTGATCGTTGTGCCCGGGCATGGGGTAACTGACACACAGCTAGTTCAACTCTTCTACCTCGCCTTGCCCGAGCATGTGCAAGGGCATTTCTTTACTAGAAAACAACAGTAGGGAATGACTTACAACGTCCTTAGCAGGGAGGCTGTTGCGTTCGCCGCTTAAGCCGCGCCAGTTACCACTTTTGGCACAAAGATCTTTCGAAGGGCAAAAAGTGGAAGGGACGCACCATCTCAAGCCAGGTCAAGGCCAAGGATAGTCTAATCTTAATAACGGAAGAAGGTGGTGTTGAGGAAGTTCCCTACTCAAACATCGAGTGGGGACTTGAGGAAGAAGACAGTGGGGTAGACCTATGCCGTTGTCGCGGTCGGAGGGAGGCCGCAAGGAGGAGGAAGAGGGCCAAGCCAGAATGGTCGGGCCCCAGGTGGCCAAGGACAGGGGGCCTGGGGGTTGGCGTCAATAGGGACCGCCAAGCGGGAGGAAGGGGTCAAGGTCCCCCGTCTAACCGTCCGCGTCAAAGTTGATCACCTCTTAGACAAGGAAGGTGGCACCCAAGTCAGCCCGAAGGATGATCAGAGAGTCGCGTGTGGGATATCCAGGGTGATCCAATGTATGCGAACAAAGGGTTGTGTGGGCGCTGTGTCGCCATAGCCATGTGAAGTAAACGCGTATCTGAGTTGCGTTCTTGGTCACCATATCTCTGAGCCTGGAGTGGGCGCTTGTCGCCAGTCTGCTGCGTTACTATTTGCATGCATGTAAGGAGTGAAGGAAGCGAGTCTGATTGCATTGGTATCAGAGCTGGTACCCTCTATTCCACGCGTCGTTGAGGAATGCAGCAGGGAGGTATCGCGTGCCATAGGAGAGGGCGCCATTCGGAGAGCAGTTCGCCATAGCGGACCTGGAGGTTGGAGAAGCCGCCACGCACCTGCCAGAAGACAACAACGAAAGGAGAGAGAGAGGGAGAGAGAATGAGTGATACAAGATTGGGTTACTACGTACCTGCTGCGCTGGAGATATCGCTACGGCGAGAGGGAGAGAAAGGTTGAGCGATACAAGATTGGTTGTCACTTACCTGGGAGATCGTTGTGCAGTCCAAGAAGAAGAAGACGGCCATAGCCGCGAAGCTTGCACCACGTAGTGACGAAGGAGGACGTGGGAGAGGACAGAGGGGGAGACCTAGCAGAGTGAAAGAAGCCATCGCCGGGAGGTGAAAGAAGAGACGAAAAAAAAAAAAAAAAAAAAAAAAAAAGAGAGATAGCTGGGGTGAAAGGAGGCGAGGAAGGTGAAGAGAAAGAGAAGATTGGTGAGGGAGAGAAGCCGGCAGCCATAGCCGACCGGGAGAGTTGATCGGGCGTTGACCAGAGTTGACTGGGCGTTGACAGGAGTTGACCGGGTGTTGACGGGGGGTTGACTGCAGTGTTGACCGAGCGTTGACGAAGGTGTTGACCAAGGCATTGACCAAGGCGTTGACCAAGGCTGTTGACCACGATTTTGACCAAGCCTGAGCCGGTATAATCTCGCCAAGCCTTCAGCCTATTCCCTCGCCCTATGGATGTGCACACACCCTATGGTACTTGCTAAGTCTTGTCTGTCTGTCTCTTCTTTCTGCATCGAGTCTCTTCTGTCCAGGTGATAGGACTCCGTGTATGAAGGATAGGGCCTCGTTGACCAAACCCCTGCCGGACTAAGTAGGGCTAAAGACTGTGTCTGACGACTCGACTGTCCCGGAGGACACGAACCCTCCCAAGGACCGGTACTGACCGGCGGGCTGCTCGGTGTGGCACGGTAGGCCCGAAATCTGAGCTGTGGGTTGCACAACAGGCCGTCTAAGTCTTGAGAAGACCTGCTGATCGTGTCGTCCTGTCTGGGACGTTAAATACTTCCTGAGGAGTTACGGGGGATCTCCTTAAATGCCTCCTGATCAGCAACAGGTCTTGTAGTGACAGCCTTAGAGTAGGTCTAGGCTAGAGACCCTAGTTGACAGGATCCCTGTTCGGGTTCTGTGAGTCTTTAGATTGAGTCAGTAAGTTTGTCAGACAGGGGTTAGAGTTTAAGTGGTGAGGTTTGGAACCGTTGACCCAGTTGTACACTTATCACCATGGTTGACACCCGTAGTGGGAAGAGTACTAGCCCCTATACTCCGGCT